TACTGCCTTTCCATACAGAACTGGGCCTGAAGATCGCAACCGCAAAAGCCTACCCTATGAACTTAAACACAGTGCAATAGACCTCCATTATGAAAGGGGAGTTTTTTTAGCGTTTGTTTGTACGCTCAGATAAAGTATCTCGGATGTAGTATCAGCACTTAAAGGCCAAATTTTCTTTAGTTCAGGGTACTTTTGAAGACAAATAGAAACACTGGGTTTGCGGAAAAAATGAAGTTTATTCTGCTATGAATTACTGCTCTGCGCATTTACAAATTTTGCAGCGGCAAAAGAGTGGGAAAAAAGAGGTCCACAAATCTCTGCGTTCATAAATGTTCACGAAGCCAGTGTCGTAAAATGAGCGGAAGGTAGGGATTGCTGTCATTTAGGGCTTTCCGGATGACTTTGTCAATTTTTTTTGACAGTCTGATAAGTTGTTTTTCCTTTCTTTGCAACCACGCCTTCAGATTGAATCCTGCAGGCCTCAGCGCCGTCAGCTCCTGCGACGACAACGAAGACACTAAATTCCACAATTCAGTTTCGGCAGAGGTAGCAGCAGCTATCTGGACCCCATGGTCCTCCTCCTCCTTGGGATAGGCCTTGAACAGGGGGGTGGCCAAAGTAAGAACGAGGACGAAAATAAGCCCTGCTCTGGACGCCATTTGGTAACGAATGCAAATGAGACTGCCTGCCGCATGCACAATGTATTTACGTAACCGGCCCTAGATTGTTTACGCTGATTTCGCCGCCGTTGTGGGGGCTCGAGATGTCCTTGTTCACTGGTTTGCCCGCACCGTGAGCGAAATTCAATTTAAAAATACCCCGTTAACCAATCAGGCGTCGCCAAGCGCGAAGATAAGTGTTCAGAAGGCTGCGGAGGCGCAGAAACAGCCCGGAAGCGCGGTTAGATCAGCCAGATCGTTCTACCCTATCAGCTGACTATTGCGCGTGCGTGCACGCATATACGCACGCACCAGTGTCTGCAGACCCCAATCTGGGTGGAGTCGA